AAGAATTTATCAAATGTCGTCTTGACAATTTTTCAATGAGTTTTATACTATATTACGTAAATTTCAGTATTTGCGAAACTAAATAAATATCCATGAATATGCGGGAACAGTTTTAAAGAGTTCCATATAATCATTTAATTAAAAAACTTAATATCTGCAACATTCCATTATCAGAAAGTGAAGAATATGACATTTGATGAATTCTTTCGATATATTCGTTATGAAGGGTTTCACTGTATATTATATATTATATATATTATATATTTTATATATATTAGCTTCAGCTGGTTAAACGGCTGGACCAAATGGGCTGAAATTCCACCGGCAACGCAGCCTTCAGCTAGTACCTAATAAATGTTGAGAAGTGTTGAACTAGTTTCTCCGAGGTTTGATGAAACTCTTGAACCAGTTCCTCCGGGATCTGGTTTGCTAGCAGGGGTTTCCGTAGTTTCTCCAGGATAGGCAGGAAAACACGGCAGTCCAGGGGGAGGATAAAATGAACCTATAAAAACGTTAAAAATTTACATACAGTATTATTATAAATAACCCGAATTAACAGAAATTGATTGATTGATACTTCAATGTCGTCTTGCGGCATTCAATTTAGCAATATTTTTAGCAATCCGGCCATTTTTATAATGTGGTCGGCCATTTTTATAATGTGGTCGGACATTTTTATAATGTGGTCGGACATTTTTATAATGTGGTCGGACATTTTTATAATGTGGTCGGACATTTTTATAATGTGGTCGGACATTTTTTTGCCTTCAAAAAAAAGATAAAAAGAATTTTGTTTAAATTTCAATTTATTCAATGTCTAAATGTCTAATTCTGAACAAAATCTTTTATAACCCTGGTTATTGTGAAAGCACGAAAATGTCTTTTCTGTGATTTTTGTTTAAAAAAAATATATTGGTAAAATCTGGTTGAACCAATGTTGAATGCTGCAATCTATTCTAAGGTTCAAGTCATCAATCAAATCCGTGTACACAAAACATTCTATGTTAGGTTAAGATAGATATTATTTCCTCTTGGATATCCCGTGGTATAGGAACTAAACAAGGATAACTAACGTTGAGAGATCAAGCTCTTTTTTTCTCAAAGAAATTGAGTTTTTGCATCAAACTTAAGTTTTCTAATCCCTATATCTTTACAACCAGATGGTGTTCACATTTGATATTTCAAACGTAGACTAATTTCTCTTACAGAATTCTAAGTTTGAAATATCTGAGGTCTAGAATACCGGGTTGCAAAGATACAGGGATAAAAAAAATCATAGTTTGTGGCAAAGATTCAATTGCTTTAAAAGTTTCCACAGGGAATTTTACGATCAAGCGTTGTAGTTCAACGCTTTCTAATACAAAAGTTTTACCACAATTGTTCTCAATGTATCACAGTCACAGAGTCAGTTATTATGATTTATATTTTCAAACAACAATTCAACAGAAAATGTGCATTTTTGCCAGTTTTCCAATTAACTAAAACTAAGCTAAAATTTTGTATCTCTATATCTATGCAACCTAATGGTGTGAACCTTTTTATATCTCAAACTTTGCCTATTTTATCCAACAGAATTCATTGTAAATTTATAAAAGTTCTAACTTTGTTATTCTCTTATTAAACCAAGTTTATCAGGCAACTTTGTCCACAGGGTGTCCAGATATAATTATGTAGATTTAATTTTTGCCTTGTATAGAGTGTCCCAATGTTTTTATATAACTTTGATTGTTTTACCTTGTACATGGTGTCCAAATATTATTATTTAATTTTTTTGTATTATTATGTATATTTTTTGCCTTGCACAAGGTTGCCCGATTTTAATATTTAATTTCATTTTTTTCTGGTCCACGTCCTGGTATTCTTATTTAAATTTTATTTTTTGACTTGGACAAGGTGTCCCAATATATGTAATATGTAATTTTTTGCATTTACAGGGTGTCCCGAGCCGACGCCAATTTTCAGTTCTTGACTTCAATATACATTTTCTCTGAGGGCGTGGAAAAGTGTAAGGACTCAAGAAAAAATATACCCATTTGATACGATTTAAAAAAGAAATAAAAAAATAATTATATGGTTTGAATTAAAAACATTAAAATGGAATTATGAAACATACAACAAATTATATTCTACCTGACAGTATACTAAACATCTAGTCAGAGCAGTGTCAACCCTTCAAATAATCGTTTCATTTAAACTTTGTTCGTTATGTTCTGTTTAAATAGTACAACAAATGTGTATAAACCCTATATGTCTTTCCTTTTTGAAATATCATCGATTATAATTTCCTTGATTTTTGACAATGTTTGCTGTCCTTGGTTCTAAATATAAATGAAACTCCGATGGTGTGGCAATAGGTATTAATTATTTCGAGTTTTTAAATAAATCAAAGTCTTGTTGGATCCACCCCAACCGTATTTAGTATATTTGTTTCATTTTCCATCCTCAACAAAAGCAAAAAAATGTTATAATCATCAAAAAGAAAAAAGAAAACCTTTTAAAGCTTAAACAGATCCCAAAATGGTAAAATGCATTATAGCAAGGTATAAAACTAAAATGTACAAAACATCATTATTTTTCAAAATTGCGATTATTTGATCCAATTTCAACTTATTTATCAAATTGTACATAATTTTTCATTATTTGAGAAAATGGCGCCGCAAAGTTTTGCATAAAACTGATTCCTGGACATCTTAGACTGAATGGCGTGCTGGGCCAGAATCCCTAAGGTCTCCCGGCTAAAGTTATCCTTCCAGGAGTATGCCGTGTATCCTTTCTTTACCAGCTCGTAGGAGAGTAGAGCCCGGAGTAATCTGAGGATAAACAAAATTAGAATCTTCTAATGTAAAACCAGGAGTCTGGAACCTTGTCTCCTGGACCTTATATGCATCCTATATTCTGAACCTTGTAATTTCTATTCTAAATTTTTAGAATTTTACGGGCAACGCCAGGCACATCTACTAGTATACCCTAAACCATCATAAACCTTGTAATATGTATCCTAAACCTTGTTATATGTATCCTGAACCTTTTAATATGAAATCTTTTAATCTATCCTAAACCTTGTATTTTGTATTCTAAACCTTGGTACATGTATCCTAAACCTTGTACTATATATCCTAAACCTTGTAATTTATATTCTAAACCTTGTAATATGTATCCTGAACCTTGTAATATCTAACCTAAACCTTGTAATATGTACCCTAAACCTTGTATTTTGTATTCTAAACCTTGTAACATGTATCCTAAACCTTGTAATATATATATCCTAAACCTTGTAGTAACTATCCTAAACCTTGCAATATGTATCCTAAACCTTGTAATATGTATCCTAAACCTTGTAATTTATATTCTAAACCTTGTAATTTATATTTTAAACCTCGTAATTTATATTCTAAACCTTGTAATTTATATTCTAAACCTTGTAATATGTATTCTAAAAACTTTCAATTTCAGTTTTTATTTCTAAAAAGGTTATTTTTAAATTACGAGCTTACAAGGAAGCAAAGAGAAGCTGTTAATTAACAGCTTCTCTTTGTTTTCATGTTTATTTGTATCCATACTGCTTGAAAGCTTGTTAGGCTTAAAATCTGAAATTTAAAGTCGTCTTTATTGTTTTTATATAAATAAACGATGACGACTGTAGTATACCTGATATGCTGATTAAGTTTCCCTTGTCTGATATAAAGATGTTGGATGAGATGAATGTCTCCTCGGTTCTTCTTGAGTTTACCATCCATCTTATACAGGGACCACCAGGCGTTGGAACCACAGGCTGGCAGATCACGGACTGGTATCTCAACATGACCTGGAGAAGTCTAGATTAGGTTTTGTTTGGTTTAGATTGTTTCTGATAAGATTGGGTTTATATGAAATTCGGTTTAAATCAGGTTTGGTTTAGATCAGATTTAATTTAGATAAGCTTTGGTTTATATCAGGTGTGGTTCAAATCAAGTTGGTTAATTTAGATCAGATTTGGTTTAGATCAGGTTTGGTTTATATCAGGTGTGGTTTAAATCAGGTTGGTTTAGATCAGATTTAATTTAGATAAGCTTTGGTTTATATCAGGTGTGGTTCAAATCAAGTTGGTTAATTTAGATTAGATTTGGTTTAGATCAGGTTTGGTTTATATCAGGTGTGGTTTAAATCAGGTTGGTTTAGATCAGATTTGGTTTAGATCAGGTTTGGTTTATATCAGGTGTGGTTTAAATCAGGTGTGGTTTATATCAGGTGTGGTTTAAATCAGGTGTGGTTTTAATCAGATTTGGTTTGGATCAAGTTTGGTTTATATCAGGTATGGTTTAAATCAGGTTTGGTTTAAATCAGGTGTGGTTTATATCAGGTGGGGTTTAGATCAGGTTGGTTCAGATCAGATTTGGTTTGGATCAAGTTTGGTTTGATAAAAGTATTTTATTAAATGGCAATTTTATCATAGGGAAGGTTTTAAGTGGCAACTCAAAATTTAACTTTTTTCCAAAATTGTCACTTAACTTAATCTTCTAGCTGCGGCGTTCGTATTACTGTCATGTTTTAGACTAAATAGCCTTTTGCATTGATTTATTTCAAGAGAGCTGAAACTCCCCTCAAACTCTAATTTCTTTCAACACTTTTATATCTTAAACTTAAACTTTGTTATCTAACATAAATTATAGTTTGAAATATAAAAGATCTACAGAATTAGGTTCTTAAAATGTTGGTAATCAGTTCCTTAACTTAACATTTTTTATCTTTGGTTCTTTTTTGATTAAAATAAACCCACCAATCAGTCGGTCTGATGAGGGAGGAGCAACTGTATCAGAGATGAGCTGTTTTAACCCTCTTCCATCCTTGACTTCTCCCAACCTAAAAAACAGTTTATTTAATCTCTTCCATCCTTGACTTCTCCCAACCTAAAAACCAGTTTATTAATCTCTTCCATTCTTGACTTCTCCCAACCTAAAAACCAGTTTATTAATCTCTTCCATCCTTGACTTCTCCCAACCTAAAAACCAGTTTATTAATCTCATCCATCCTTTACTTCTCCCAACCTACAAACCAGTTTATTAATCTCATCCATCTTTGACTTCTCCCAACCTAAAAACCAGTTTATTAATTTCATCCATCCTTGACTTCTCCGAATCTAAAAACCAGTTTATATATCTCATCCATCCTTGACTTCTCCCAACCTAAAAACCAGTTTATTAATCTCTTCCATCCTTGACTTCTCCCAACCTACAAACCAATTTATTAATCTCTTCCATTCTTGACTTCTCCCAACCTAAAAACCAGTTTATTAATCTCTTCCATCCTTGACTTCTCCCAACCTAAAAACCAGTTTATGAATCTCTTCCTTGACTTCTCTTAACCTGAAAACCAGTTTAATAATCTCTACCATCCTTGACTTCTCCCAACCTAAAAACCAGTTTATTAATCTCTACCATCCTTGACTTCTCCCAACCTAAAGCCGGTTTATTAATCTCTACCATCCTTTTTACAACCTGAAAACTGGTTTATTAATATCTCCCATCCTTGACTTCTCTCAGCATAAAAACCGGTTTATAAATCCATTTCATCCTTAACTTCTACCATCCTAAATACCGGTTAATAAATCTATTTCATACTTAACTTCTCCCATCCTAAAAACCAGTGTATTAATCTCTTCCATCCTTGACTTCTCCCAACCTAAAAACCGGTTTATAAATCTATTTCATACTAAACTTCTCCCAACCTAAAAACCGATTTTATTAATCTCTTCCATCCTTGACTTCTCCCAACCTAAAAACCAGTTTATTAATCTCTACCATCCTTGACTTCTCCCATCCTAAAAACCAGTTTATTAATCTCTTCCATCCTTGACTTCTCCCATCCTAAAAACCAGTTTATTAATCTCTTCCATCCTTGACTTCTCCCAACCTAAAAACCAGTTTATTAATCTCTTCCATCCTTAACTCCTCCCAACCTAAAACCGGTTTATTAATATATTCCATCCTTGACTTTTCCCAACCTAAAAACCAGTTTATTAATCTCTTCCATCCTTGAATTCTCCCAACCTAAAACCGGTTTATTAATCTCTACCATCCTTGACTTCTCCCAACCTAAAACCGGTTTATTAATCTCTTCCATCCATCTTTCTATCATGTACTACATACTTTCTTCATTTTGAAGCCACGATGCTCTTTTCTAAGTTTCCAATACTTTTTTCCCAAAACCTTCTAGTCTTAAAATTCACCTTTTTAATTTATCCACAACACGTTCTCCAGGCACAGCTTCAAAGTTCCAAACATCTATATGGATACTGTCACGTGATACGTCCTAGAGAAACATCTATAAAAATACTGTCACCTTATACGTCTTAAAAAACATCTATAAGGATACTGTCACGTGATAGGTCCTAAACAAACTTCGTCTTAAAGAAACATAAAAATGAATACTGTCACGTGATACGTCCTAAACAAACATCTATGTGGATAATGTCACGTAATACGTCTTAATCAAATATCTATATGAATAATGTCACGTAATACGTCCTAAATAAACAATAATATGAAGACTGTCACGTAATAAGTCCTAAACAATTATCTATATGGATACTGTCACGTCATACGCATAAAAAAGCATCGATGTGTATACTGTCAAATGATAAGTCCTAAAAAACTTCTATGAAAATACTGTCACGTGATACGTCTTAATCAAACATCTATTTAAATACTGTCATGTGACACGTCCTAAGTAAAAACATCTTTATGGATACTGTCACGTGATACGTCTTAATCAAACATCTATATGAATGTAACGTGACACGCCCTGGACAAACATCTTAATTGGTCTAATGTCATTTTCCTTATTTTGTGTTTTCCAATGATTATATTTGCCACTCATGATGTTGGTTCTAAAACGTTTATTTAATCTTACAACTTACTGGCGTAATGTATTAGAATAGAGCTACAAGAAGGCATGAACTGTTCTAACCTTTAACTCCATATTGTAGGTTTCATTCCAGACTGGATTAAGGGTTTCAGGTTTACAGGAACTGCTCAGGGGATTGGTTTTATCTGATGTAATGTAGAATGTGCAGTACGGATTGCTGGTTCCAGAAACCTGTTTAGAAACCAGATCCTTAGCTTCAACTATACAGAGGCTTAGGTGCACTTTAGGTTTTGGTCTTGCAACCACCTGCAATATAGATTAGAATTTAAAAACTGTAATTAGGATTAGAGAGCTGTAATTAGGATTAAAGAGCTGTAATTAGGATTAGAGAGCTGTAATCAGAATTGGAGAGCAATAGTTAGAATTAAAGAGCTATAATTAGCATTAGAGAGCTGTAATTATGATTAAAGAGCTGTAATTATGATTAGAGAGCTGTAATTAGGATTAAAGAGCTATAATTAGAATTAGAGAGCTGTAATTAGGATTACAGAGCTGTAATCAGGATTAGAGAGCTGTAATTAGGATTAAAGAGCTGTATTTAGGATTAGAGAGCTGTATTTATGATTAGAGAGCTGTAATTTGGATTAAAGAGCTGTAAATAGGATTAGAGAGATTTAATCAGGATTAGAGAGCTGTAATTAGGATTAGAGAGCTGTAATTAGGATTAAAGAGCTCAGCTGTAAATAGGATTAGAGAGCTGTAATTAGAATTTAAGAGCTGAACATAAGATTTAAGTGCTGTTATTCAAGAGTTGTTATTTGAAATAGAGAGCTGTGATTAGGATTATAAGGCTGTGATTAGGATTACAAGGCTGTGATTAGGATTACAAGGTCCTGATTGTATATATCCAGATGCTGCTGGGGTTCTATATGAAACACTTTACGAATATGTTCAATCATCTCATATTGACCATTCCTATCCGCATCCTTCCCGATCATATTAAGCAGAGAATAGAGAACCTCAGTATATAATTCTTCACCATCCTTCTCTTCAAACTCACCTAAGCATAATATAAAATTAAGTAAATATTTCGTATATCTTCTAGTTTAACCAGTTGCGAGGTTTCTTTTGATTTGGTGGATTTTCGGCGGAATTAGAAATGATGACGTGTTAGATTTTCTTTTAAATGTTGACGGTTTTTTTCCAAGACCGGAAGTTTGGATTTATTGAAGTTCAGGGATTGTTTAAATATTTCAGGATTATCAGGAATCTGTATCAATAGAGATCCGCCCGTCCTTGGTTGGTCAACCATCCGTAGTAACCATGTAAACCCAGATATCTCTATACAATAGATCAACCGGGAGTAATCTATTATCAGATTTCATGAATACATTTATTGTCTTCTCTTGGAAAATTTTAAGGAACGGTCGAAATTTTTTTCTTAATTGTCAATGATATATTATTAAATCAAAGATATTATATCGTAATATTTAAATATGAGTTTGGTGTTTAAGCTTTTTCGATCCCCTTCCCTAAATATTTCGCCCCCCCCACAACTAAATTTTTTAACCCCCCATTTTTGGGCCATCCCCCCTCCTATTTTAAAACGAATGTTGGTACCGAACCTAACTTTGAAAGAAATTATCATAACGTAAAATGTCTCATATGTAATCTAAAATCTACATAGGTATCTACATCCTTATGTATAATCATTAAAGATTTTAAACTCATAAAAAAATGACATTAGCAGCAGAATATGGCATTAAAGTTACTAAAAATATGTCAAATTATTACGATGAATTAAACCTGTGCGCTGATAATTCCATAAATGATCAAAATAGCAAAATGAGTCATTTTTCCATGCCGTAAATTCTCCGCGGTCTAGTGATTAAATCCGTCCTCAGAGCAGGGTGCGGGAGCAGGTGTTACTCCGGGTTCCAATTTAGACACAGATCAATCAATCTCGTAAAATCGGAGAAAGTATGAAAAGAGAAACTTATCTATAAAATCAATCTTGAAAAGAAAACATCTTTCAATCATATAATCTTGCCGCCGGCAATTTTTTTAAAATAATGCAGGTCTGATGCACAAAAGTACCTTTGTCTATAAATTGATTACTTTCAATTATTATTGTATGTAAACGAGACTTTATTTATTTACTAGATTGTGAACCCAGCTGTTGTCCAGGTTACTCATAATTACTTCCCCCGTTCACCCGCACTTGGTCATAAATTACGATTTTAGCTATTTTTCCCTATAAACGTCTTTTCCTCGACCCACTTAACTTAAAATCTCCAAACCAAGCTAATCGGTCCAGGGGGTTCCTGGGTTATGATCGGACATGCAAACAAACAGAAAGATAAACAGAGATTACAGCTTTGTTTATATAAATATATATATATTTAAGTTTCAAATAGCTGATGTTTATTCTCTAAAGTATAAAGTTAATTGCAGCATTGCAATTAAATTTCACTGCAAGGTCGGTCCTGATTAAGTCAAAATAAAACGTTTAATCTGTTTTATTTGATTGTTATTAATTGATCCGTTGATATGAACATTATTCGTATATTTGGAAATGTTTTAAAGGACAAAATTCGTTTCACACGGTATTCATTCCAAAATGCATATAAAATATTTTCTTTATTATTCATAAATTCATTTTATTTAAACATTTTCTAAAAATATTTTTGCGATCATGCATTTTATTTATTTTCATAAACAATGAATCTGTTGACAGGAATCTATCAAAAAACAGACAGCGGAGATTTTACGACCGTGCATAAAAGATTTAATTTTCTAGTTTTCAGTAACTGTTGGCAAATATTAAGAGGGATAAAGAACAAATTATTTTTTTTGATTATTTAAAAATGGCAATCAAAACGGATTTTTTTTATAAACATTTCTGCTGTAGCCTGTACGCATGAACATTATTAGGGATAATCTGGTTTTTCTGACTCCCCCTTCCCCTCTTTTTTGGATTTAACCTCTGAACTGAGCAAAATTCATAAAAAAATTTATCAAAATTTTTCAAATTTTTATTGCAATTTTATATTAAATTATCAATTTTTTTGGATTTATGCAGCAGAAATATAGAAAGAAATCAAACAGAATCTTTTCAATATTACTCAAATAAAGATTAAAAAGGTATCATTGTAGATCAGACATGTTACTAAGAAAACCACTACACATTACGTATACAGTCCCTATAAATATGTTACTTTGTAGTGAACCCTTTAGTAAAAAAAACTTACCAAAAGGCGATGTTTCAGTAATTGAGACAGCCGGAGTTATATCAACCTGGTATACGTCCTAGAATTATATACTGTTAGAGAACCTAGAATATATAGTATACTGGAGTTATATAAACTTTATATACGTCCTAGAAATATATACTGTCAGAGAACCTANAGATTTTTTCTACTATTAACATTCATTATAACATTGTACAAGTAACCATGACCTATAATTTATGTTATTTTTTAGGAAATAAAGATTTTGTTATCGATTTTCTGAGACGGGGTTACTCTGTTGTGTGTATTTTTGCGGCCTACCGGGAAAGAATTGTCCGGGGAAAATAAACATCCCCCACCAGAATCCTAACTGGCCTATTATCCTGATTTGTCTAGCGTGTTGCTGTTATCTGTCAACAATAGTATACTGGAGTAATATAAACTTGATATACGTCCTAGAATTATATACTGTTAGAGAAACTAGAATATATAGTATGGATATATAATTATTATCTATTTACAATAATTTGACAGTATTGAAAGGAAAATTGAGCAATACGAATTTGTGGAATTGTATGACTAATAATATGACATGGAGAAAGGATCAGGACGGGAGGGTTCTGTTAGCTCCGGGGTCTAAACCAATCCTGCTCCATACTTCCGGTCCTACTGGGAGGAACCTGTACTGTTTATAGGGAAGGGTTTACTCACCAGCATGGTTCAGGATATTTAAAACATTAGAAAGTTTAGGGAAACTAATCGGATAAAATTATTTACGGAGTTACCAACTCAACTCAAACTTAAATTTTGTAATACCTTTAGCTTTGCAGATTTAAAACTATGACTGGTTTTTATTTGAAATATTAATATTTTGAAATATCAAAGTTTTTTACGACATCATGTTGCAAAGATATCAGGTGTAGAAAATTTGTGTTTGAGACGAGAGGTTAGTTTCTTAGATTAAAAATCTATAAACAATGTACTTTGGGAAGTATGTCGCAATGTGGATTAAAAAGTTTAGCGAAAAATAGAAAAGAATTGTCACACAAATCAAAATCGGCTGTATTTATTTTCATTTATCCATGATCAGCAGTAAATAAGACTCTACAAATGATTCCTAATTCAATCATTTTAAATGTATTTTTAAATTCCTTCAACATGAAGTTTTATTAAACCCCCATGTCAATGACAACAAGAAAAGTCTGACAATCCAAAAAATTTGAAATTAAAAATACAAGAAAATATTTTACCTTTAGTTGTTCACAGGTTCGTTGAAATAAAACCTTCTGTCGCTTGTACAGTGACGTCATATCTTCGAAGAAACTATCGTCTTCAAGTAGAACGCTTCGTTCTCCACCCTGGATGTAGAACTGGGAGTTCCCTACAGAGCTGGTGTTAGGTAGGAGAACCTCCTAAAAAATAAATCTTTATTAAGACAGGTTAAGATGAAATATGTCAGTAAACTGTATTCTACCTGACCCAGAAACCAGGTTTAAGAGTAAGGATTGTATCCTAGTATCCTAAAAAAAAACAGAAAACCAGGTGTGCGCATAAGAATTGTATCCTAGTATCCTGTAGAAACCAGAAACAAGGTTTAAGAGTAAGGATTGTATCCTAGTATCCTGTAGGAACTAGAAACCAGGCTTAAGCATAAGAATTGTATCCTAGTATCCTGTAGAAACCAGAAACCAGGTTTAAGAGAAGGATTGTATCCTAGTATCCTGTAGAAACCAGAAACCAGGTTTAAGCATAAGAATTGTATCCTAGTATCCTGTAGAAATCAGAAAACCAGGTTTAAGAGAAGGATTGTATCCTAGTATCCTGTAGAAACCAGAAAACCAAGTTTAAGAGAAGGATTGTATCCTAGTATCCTGTAGAAACCAGAAAACCAAGTTTAAGAGAAGGATTGTATCCTAGTATCCTGTAGAAACCAGAAAACCAAGTTTAAGAGAAGGATTGTATCCTAGTATCCTGTAGAAACCAGAAAACCAAGTTTAAGAGAAGGATTGTATCCTAGTATCCTGTAGAAACCAGAAAACCAAGTTTAAGAGAAGGATTGTATCTATAGTACCCTGCAGGAACCAGAAACCAGGTTTGAACGTATCCCTGTTAAAAAAAAACGCGCACACGTGTGTTGGATCAATAAGATTATTCATAATTTATGTGGGAAAGGTAATCTTTATAAGAAGCTAGTATAATATATGAAGGGTGAAGGGGATATAAATAGAGCCATAGCTTTATTTTAATTGATTAAAATAAATCGTTATTTCTTTTCGATAGAAATTTGATAAAATTTAAAACGCCGATAGATACAGTATTTAATTTTCTTCTCTATTTTCAGATTTTTAAAACAATGTTCAAATTTTTTTAATATTTTTTTTACGAATATTGGCAAAAACCTTGCAGTCAGTTCCCTTGATAAATTGGGTGCCATTATATTCTTATTTTAAAATAATAGCTTAGAAATGAACGATGTAACTTTTCTTGAAAGTTCAGAAGAATTCTAAAATATTAGATAATGCAGATTTAAAATTAGTCCAATCTTTTTAAATACTTTGCTTGTTTGCGTCCATAACACGTCAAAACGGAGAAATCGATAGAACACAATTATATTGTGTCAACTCACCCCAGGGCAGGGTTATGGAAAAATGGTTTAAAAATGTTTCAGGAAAAAAAAATCGAAATTCATCATTTTTGAAAATGCACGAATTTTAATAAAAAATATTCGCGAAAGTTTTATTTTGAAGAACGGGATGAAGAAAATGTTGTCTTGAAAAGCAACAGAGCTGAAAACTTTAGAATGGTGGATATCGGGATTAATGCTTGATCCTCTCTTTTTGATAATCTCAAGATTAACATAATCTTGCAAGATTATCTTAAAAGTGTACGAAAAACGATAAAATTCAAATTGATATTTAATCATCTGAGAAACTGTAGCAGCCAATCAGAGAAAAGCGGGCAACCAATGAGAGAACAGAAATATTCTCATTGGAGAAAACAATTAACAGATATCCAAGGAGAGAGAAAAAGAGTGGATTAGGACAAAAATGAAAAGTTTCCACAGTGGATATTCGGATCAAGAAGTCAGGATTAAAGTTTATCCATTCTAAAGTTCCCAGCTCTGAGCTGAAAACTTTAGAATGGTGGATATCAGGATTAATGCTTAATCCACTTTTTTTTCTTAATATCCAGATTAAATATGGCTTGTTTTCCTCATGAATTTAATCCTCAGATAAGTCAACAGATCGGGATTAAGGATATCCCATTCTAAAGTTTTCAGCTCAGCTAAACGTAAACATTGTTTATTAGAAAGAGGGGTGCGAAGCGCCAATAAGGCTTGTTGTTTATTTATAAAATCATAATTTACTCTATGTTTAAACAATTTTTATTTCTGGTTGAATGATTTCTAAAAGAAGACATTTCAAGCAGAAATTTGACATATAAAATTCCACATTTTCAATAAAAAATGTATTTTTCGCGGGAACTTTCCAAGCCCTATTAAAAAGTAATATTTTGGCTTTCAAAATAAATACTTAAATAGATATATCCATCCAAATATCTATGTAATAAAGCTTTTTGCTCATATATATATAGCTAGCTATGGCTGGCCAAACGGTGGACCCAATGGGCTGACATTTTTTGAGGGATCCCTTGAGTACCTCGGTGGTAACATAGACTTAAAAACTTTTTTTTGGTCAAAAGTTTGTATCCGAACCCTGGTATCTAATTCTAAACCAGAATTGTCTCCGAACCCTGGTATCTAATCCTAAACCAGGATTATCTCCGAACCCTGGTATCTAATCCTAAACTAGGATTGTCTCCGAACCCATGGTGTCTAATTCTAAACCAGGTTTGTCTCTAAACCCTAGTATCTAATCCTAAACCAGGATTGTCTCCGAACCCTGGTGTCTAATCCTAAACCAGGATTGTCTCCGAACCCTGGTGTCTAATCCTAAACCAAGATTTTCTCACAATCATTTGTCGTAAACTCGGACCGTGGTGTTAGATACTAATATGGAACAGAACATCATACCGTACCGTACCGTGGTGTTAGATACTAATATGGAACAGAACATCATTTCTCATTTTCAGATTCCTTTCATAAACCCAAACAATTAAGATTTACAAAGAAAACGGTCCGGGATTCAATCTACAGGGATTCCCATAAAAATGTAAACAAATACACGAACTTGAAGTTGTAAAGTGTACATGTACAGATCCATTTATTATTTGCTTTATAATAATATAAACTTATATAATAAACCTCTTCGCTAATATATATACATATATATACTCATATGTAAATACAATGTTTCATGGACCAATCTTCAGTGAGGTCTGTTCTCATATATATGATTTATGCTGCTGAAGAATGTCCAACATGAAACACAGTGTCCAGCAATAACCAATCTTAATAAACAATAGAACATGTTCTAGACTTATTTTAAGAAGATGTACTCTTTTATTGATGTACAAATTGTTTCGTGTTTTTTTATATATATTTATATATGTTCACTATATATCTGTCCAAACGGTCGGACCAAATTGGATGATTTCTTTTTTGAGGGAACCCATTGATATCCCTGTGTGACATAGGACAAAGTTTTTTTTTTGAAATTGAATACGAAGCAGGGCTTAACAGCGGGAGTAACTTTGAGTAATAATATAAACTGGGGAAATCCAGGGGACCCCAACTATAGCTACACATTAGATTGCTTAAATGTCGTCTTAATATTCCACTATATTCTATACCTTTATATCCCCAACTCCTCTCCAAAAGCTCCTGGATAGGTTGACCTGTATCATCCTGTTCTGATCTAGCAGGACCTGGAGAGGAGGGGTGCATCCTAGGACAGGTTCTCTTCTACTCTGCTCTAAGGGTAGAGTTGATGTTCTCCCGAGACATGAATTCAACATGGTGGATCCGAGACAATGTTTAGTTTTCACTTCACTTTTTCAAACTCTTCCATATTAAGATTTTTCACTTTGATAATAATTTTATTCTATTTTAAACCCTATTTCTCCGGGTATGAATTATAACTGAATGATATTTTAAAACTATATCTCCGGTTTCCTCCAAGATTGAAGATAATGGATTTCGAAAGAAGACTCTTGTTCACTTAACATAAATTTTTATTTCTGAAATATATTTTAATATCTTAAATGTTAAAAAATGTACTCAAATGCATGTTCTCTCTCTCTCTCTGAAAAGCCGTGAACTACTACTCTTGAAAATACGCAATTTAGAACTGTATGTGTATTAGTACTTCCTGCTACATGTTGTTTCAATACAAATCCTCAATACTCTGTCCTGTATCCGTCCTGTCTCCGTATATACGTGTATACTGGAGCATAGCTTACACCTGACTGAGTTAGTTCCGGAGTATTGTTATTCTTTCTCCAGGTTAGGAGAAGGGTAGGGGGTTGGTCCGAACCTGGCAGTTTCTTTATTAATTATAGATATTAAAGAGAAAACCTAGGGGAACATTTTAAGGATTCGAGTCTTTGTCACAAACTCTGATTTCAAGTCACTATATCCATGAAACGCGATGTCACAGATCATTCAAATAATCTAAGTTTGAAATATTAAAGGTTTAATACACCATCAAGTTGTTAAGATATAGAGATTAGAAAATTTGAGTTTGTGGCAAAGGCTCAATTCCTTTATGAGATTATTTTATTTTGTTGTGTTGTGCCACTCATGCGAGTGTTTATTGTTAAGATTGAATATTAGATTACATCAAGTATCTGATGCAGTATGTAATTCAAATATGGTATAAGATATGAATGCACTAGTTAAGTTTATAATGTATAATGTAATCAAGGTAGGGAGTTTGATTTAGTTTATAGGAGAAGGTTTAGAGATAGATTTAGGGTTGTTGGAGTGGATTTTTTTTTAAATAGAGTTTTAGGTTGTTTGAAGATGGATTTAGGGGTTGTTTTTAGAGGGTTTAGTGGTTGTTTAGAGAGGGCTAAGAGGTTGTTTTAATAGATTTTATTTGGAGAGTTTTAAGTTGTTTTGATAAGATTTATAGGTTGTTTGGAAAGTTTCAAGTTGTTTTGATAAGATTTATAGGTTGTTTGGANAACTACTAAAAAGGGTTTTTATTGAACTACTAAAAAGGGTTTTTATTGAACTACTAAAAAGGGTTTTTATTGAACTACTAAAAAGGGTTTTTATTGAACTACTAAAAAGGGTTTTTATTGAACTACTAAAAAGGGTTTTTATTGAACTACTAAAAAGGGTTTTTATTGAACTACTAAAAAGGGTTTTTATTGAACTACTAAAAAGGGTTTTTATTGAACTACTAAAAAGGGTTTTTATTGAACTACTAAAAAGGGTTTTTATTGAACTACTAAAAAGGGTTTTTATTGAACTACTAAAAAGGGTTTTTATTGAACTACTAAAAAGGGTTTTTATTGAACTACTAAAAAGGGTTTTTATTGAACTACTAAAAAGGGTTTTTATTGAACTACTAAAAAGGGTTTTTATTGAACTACTAAAAAGGGTTTTTATTGAACTACTAAAAAGGGTTTTTATTGAACTACTAAAAAGGGTTTTTATTGAACTACTAAAAAGGGTTTTTATTGAACTACTAAAAAGGGTTTTTATTGAACTACTAAAAAGGGTTTTTATTGAACTACTAAAAAGGGTTTTTATTGAACTACTAAAAAGGGTTTTTATTGAACTACTAAAAAGGGTTTTTATTGAACTACTAAAAAGGGTTTTTATTGAACTACTAAAAAGGGTTTTTATTGAACTACTAAAAAGGGTTTTTATTGAACTACTAAAAAGGGTTTTTATTGAACTACTAAAAAGGGTTTTTATTGAACTACTAAAAAGGGTTTTTATTGAACTACTAAAAAGGGTTTTTATTGAACTACTAAAAAGGGTTTTTATTGAACTACTAAAAAGGGTTTTTATTGAACTACTAAAAAGGGTTTTTATTGAACTACTAAAAAGGGTTTTATTGAACTACTAAAAAGGGTTGTGTAAACCCAGAGGACTGGGTTGGTTCAAAGAACCTGAGAACAGGGTTTAACTTTTGTTTTGAAACTGTTATTGTCATGAAATCCAGAGGAAGTATGAGTATGACTCAACAAGGTTCGTAGTTTTACCAATTATAATATTAAATCTATTGTGTATTGCTCTAATAAACGTAGTTGATGCTAGAACCTAAACGAATTTTCAGAAAATTTATATTTTTTATAAACACAAAGAATAATTAACAATAGCAGATATAATACTAGATGTCGTCTTTTCAAGATTTAGGGGGTTTCGTTCACAATAACCCTGAGATAAAAGCCCAAAGGAGTTAAGCGCATGAAATGTAGAACAAACCATGCTCGGAACTCCTTTTGGCTCTGCCTTTAGGATATTATGAACAAAAAAAACCCTAAATCTTGAAAAGACGACATCTAGTGTTCTATCTGTTTATCTGTTATTGTTAATTAATCTAGAATAAAACATAACTAAACATTAACAGAAATTTTACAATGTTTTCATTAAATTTTTTCCCAATTTTTCGTCAGTTATTAACAGATTTTTGCTTCCTTTCCAGACTGTTAATACAAATGTCTTCTTCCATAATTTGTTCAGTTATTTGATACCAAAGACAAAAATAAAAATATATTATGAGAGTCATGTTAAAGTAAAATTTATTTCAAAGTAAAATATATTTAAGCAAAAGGTTTTTTAATGAAATAAACTACAAAAAAACTTTAATATCTATAAATACTATACTTGGAATACGACATTCATAACTATTTATCAACTGTCATGTTTCGTGGGACACCCTGTATATAAAAAGGGGATGAGAATTGAATAAGAAGAATACAGAGACAGATTTAAATGAGACAAAAGAAAAGAAGAACGGATTTAGATTGTCTTCGTCGAGTTGAATGAGGAAAAAATCAATTGTATTATTGAAAAGAGTTGGAGTATACAGAGTATAGAGTATATGTTTTCATGATTCGGTAAACTACAGAGTCCAGGGGCGTATACAGGGGAAGCCAGGGGGGCTAACCCCGTGAAAGTGAAAACTATGATCTCCAGGGAGGAGGGGGGGGGAAGGTTCTTGCA